TTCTCTTTTATGTGGACTTTTGCCCGCAAAGAATCCTTCCCGTTCCCACTGAGGGGACGTCTTTGTGGCTGATCTCCAGCAGCTTCTCAAGGTAAGTCCCCAAAGTAGGCGCGCCCAGTGTGCACAGGGATGCGAAACTTCTGGAACAGATCTTGTCACTGCTCCCAAAGAGGAGAAGAGACACACGTTTCTGGAAGGTTCATTTTGCTGCTCTCATCAGCCGCACAGCATGGCCCTGCTTGTGGACGGACAGGCCCACGTTCTCGATGAACAATTGAAATACAAAACTCAAGAGAGCCGCTCGGCCCGTAAGGCGCCCAGTTAATTGAAGATGGCCAGAACAGTAGTTTCGATCTTTGGACGCCACCTGGTTCACTCTCCCCATTTCCCAAATGTGGATTTGGAGGCTTAGAGGATTTTTCTGACTTTTCCAAGAACAGAGATTGAAACCCGTGTTCTCTTCTTGACCATGACACTGGTCTCTGTCCAGTTTTCTAAGCGTGTACGCAGCGGTCTTCCTGAGGAAATCATTCTGCTCTCTTGCTGTGTGCTGGGCCCAATGCAGGGGGAGACACGAATAACATTTCATGGCAAGTAAGCACTCGGGAGACGCCAGGCATGGGGCCAACCAAGCACATGTATCTGTTGCCTCAAGAGAATGTAAGTCGTGTCGTAGAAGTGTCCTTGTGTGGTAAATAGCAGGTGCCTACACTGATGAATGAGGAGACACATAAGATTGTGTTCAGTGTGACCTATTAAGTGGAAAGAGCATCCTCTGAAATCCCAGGGGAAGAAGGCTATGAAGCGGCTGCATCCTCTTGGGGATATCTTGTCGGATCGTAGAGCATTTTCTTATGTTGAAGATATTCAAGTAAGTCATGAAAAGCTCCAGGGCTTCAGAACTGTGACAAGAACGGCAGCCCTCACAAGGGCCCTGATGCCGGTATCGATCAGGAGGGACCCAAAGGCGTAGGGCTGTGACGATACCACCTCTGGGCCACCCCCGGGACCCGGAAGCTGCCTGCTTAGAAAAGTCACCCCCCGCCCCCGCCCCAGGAAAACCCAAACATCAAGTCGTCCTTGGCTCTGGCAGATGTAGACCCACAACATGGCAGGGCCAGTGCCTCCGAGATCTGGAACAGGGGCCGATAAGAGCCGACCACTGACTTCCTCGGGGCACCCACCAGACATTCCCAGCAGCCGCTTGGCCATCACCAGCCCTGTGTGCACATATGTGCCCGTAAGTGCCCGTGATCTAGTTCTGCTCCCCCCTGGATTGTTTTCCTTGGAAATACAGGAGAGGGCTCAGGTGCATGAGGTGCTTGAGAGACTCATGGACCTCAGTGGTCTTCAAGAACTTGACCTACCCAGAAAGCCCAGGGACGCTTAGAAATGTGTGCTGAAGTTACCCGGTTTCCCCAAGGTGGGCAAGTGCTTTTTCCTAGGCTTCCCTTTCGGCTTCTGTGTGCCAGGAGGATTGGGCTGAGGAACGGATGATAGCCACCTGCAGCCGTGTCTCTCTCTAGAGAGTTCCACAGTGGAGCTCTGAGAAGGCTTGGGGCTCTACCTCTCAGAGGCAGGACGTGGTGTCCCCATCATCTCTGCGCATCCAGGGATGCCCGCTAGTGTGTTCATCAGTCTGTCCTTATGCGTCATTGTGCCTCCTCGGCCACTTAACATGCGGAGGGAGAGTGACAGGTCCGGTCACCTGGCACATCGCCTTCCTTGGCTTCTTTGAGCTCCGGCCCCTCTGTTCCACCGCAGGAGATGCAGGCAGCTGGCCTCATTCCCAAAGAGGTGGTGTTCAGACCCAAATCGGACTTCATTTCAGGCATCCGTGAGAAAAGGGATGTTTTGCCTTCTCTTTCCTCGAGGTCAGCTTCCAGCGCGTGGGTGACAGACCTACAGGCTGGTGAGGCGTCACATTTTTTTGTAACGAAGTCTTTTTCCTTCTTTTTTTCTCAGGGAAGATGAAAGTGAGCCTAGCAGAGATGCTCTGGATTCACATTTCCCTGAATGTGTTCTGTTCTGTTTTTTCCTCCATTCAACCCACTGTTTTCCCATAAAAGACTCCGTGTATAGTTCAGAGGTATGCTATGAAGTACAGACAGTGTTGTAGATTGCAAAGTGGATATAATTTGGCAAAATAAAGAGGAACTAGGAGGTGTTCTATGATGTGGTGCGTCAGTGTTACGCTTTGAAGTTTATTTCTGAGAGAGAGAGCGGGCACGAGCAGGGGAGAGGCAGAGAGAGAGGGAGAGAGAGAGAATTCCAAGCAGGCTCCACACTCTCAGCACAGAGCCCGACGCGGGACTGGAACCAGATCGTGACCTGAACCAGAACCAAGAGTCGGACGCTTAACCGACTGAGCCGCCCAGGCACCCCGGTGTTATTTTTAATACCAAACTAAACCATCGAATTAATTTAGGTTGACTTGCCTAAGCAAATGGTGGACCAGCAGCCACGGACAGCCTCTCCACGCCAGGTGCAGATGAAACAAACCTCACTGAGCTGGATGAACATGATATGATGTGGCCTGATTCAACAGTTCAAAACTCCTATTTAAAAATGTCCCTTATTACCATGAATTTCTTCAGATCTGATTTGCACTTCAGACTATAGTGTATAACAGCCAAGTATTTTTCCATCACGCTGGTCACTTGAATTCCTTGGTCTGTCTCCTCATGCTTGAAAGCTAAGGTTATATTGCCTCTCAAAGCTGCCTGCCCACTTACAGTTTGGAAATCTATGGAAATCGTACGTTGCGGAACATTAGGGAAACATAATGTGCCCTTGCTGGGGTCTTGGGAAAAAATATTTCCAGAAAGAGCAATCATTTAAATTTTTCTTTTTTCAAAAGGCAGCTTTGAGATTCTTTTCCTGCTTTTCCTTCTCTCCACTTGAAAAAGAGTTCCATTATTACCTTTTAACCATGCAAGACCACGAATCCATCATACTGACCGGTAGCCTGTGTGAGCTACTCAGGCACATCGTTTTTCTTTGTGTCGTAAACCGTGAAAACAGATGACACACAGGCGTTATAATTGATGAACTCCCAAGCCTCACGCATGGCTTCTCCATGGCCCCTTCTACCCTGTGTCGTCTGATAGAAGAAACCCTGAGGGTGAATGTGAGTAGGTAATTACCAAAAATAACGTCAGGTCCATCTAAGTCATCTTCCAGGAAAACGTTGAAATATAAAACGCCTGGCGAAAACATGATTAGAGGGGGGAAGAAAAAAACCTGTGGGATTCAAGTTGCTATAGGAACACTCATAGCCCCTTCAGCGAGCAGCGAGAGGGGATGATCTATTAAGCCTTTTTTCCTCCACCGAATATTCCACTGCATTAGTCACGCTGACTCACAGTCTGTTCCTGTTCCTGCTAGATTTGGCATATTTGGTGATGTTTTTCATAGGCTAGGAGCCAGAGTTCTTTCCCTGGCCCGCGGGGTTCTCTTCCTTGGATCTCTGGATGTGTTTGATGCATTTGGGGTCTGTGAGCACCAGTATGGCTGTTAGATTTTTCCCAGGGCAGGTCAGGGGCAGGGAGCGGGGGCGGTGGGGACTCCTCTGAGTTCCTGGTAGCACTACTTTGAGTTTTTAACCTTGGGTGTGTATTAGCCATTAAACGTAATCAGAACGAACCTCACATGACTGTCTCCGGCCCCTATAATTTGGAAATATGGAGACCGAGCGCGTATGGACCAAACACATGTTACACAGGAGGTTATGTGACTTGATGTTATAAATGTAGTTGAGTTAGGGCAACTCTGAAGCCAGCCTTTTGGCCACTCAACCAGGGCCCTTTTATACCGTGGGAGGAGGTATATTTTCGGGGAAGGTCAAAGAAGTCAAGATGTTTTTCTTCTGTTGCAAACATTGTGGAGCACGTTTGGCTTGTTTCTAAATCCCCTTTTAAAATACAGGTAATCAATATGACAGAAATGCGTCCGAGCTGGCCAGCAGACATTTGTGGAGGGTTACTGCCGCGGATAGTTACGTTAGATACTTCAAGGCGCTGCGTGCCTGCGTGCTGGCCACGAACGAGTTGCTGACACGCGATCAGTCCATTTTTGTCAAAAACACTTACTTTTTATTATTTTGCATGATCACGTCAGCCGGTTATTCCTCAGATGTGTCTTCTACATATTTCCTTGATTTCCAGAGGAAAAGATGCTCAGTCAGATGAGGAATGTGCTTCTTAAATGTTTGCTTATTATTTTTTTTTATTTTTGAGAGGTGGGGGAGGGGCAGAGAGAAAGGGAGAGAGAGGATCCAAAGTGGGTTCTGCGCGGATAGCACAGAGCCTGACCTGATGCGGGGCTGGAACCCACGAACCGTGAGATCATGACCTGAGCCGAAGTCACATGCTTAACTGACTGAGCCACCCAAACGCCCCTAGGAATATGCTTATTAAAAAGTAAATATAGGGCACCTGGGTGGCGCAGTCGGTTAAGCATCTGACTTCAGCTCAGGTCAGTATCTCACGGTTCGTGGGTTCGAGCCCCGCGTCGGGCTCTGTGCTGACAGCTCAGAGGCTGGAGCCTGCTTCGGATTCTGTATCTCCCTCTCTCGCTCTGCCCCTCTCCCACTCACACTCTCTCTGTTTCTTTCTCAAAAACAGATAAACATTCAAAAAATAAAAATAAATGTATACACAGTAAACATTTGGCTTTCTTTTTACGGTAATGGAAAGAAATAAATTCAGGGAGAAAGAGTAGTGTTTACAATTGTGAGCATTATAACACAGAACTTTAAAAATTGGCCCCAGACAATGTTGACCACATTCAGGGTGATACGAATCTCGGTAAAGAGAGTCTCTATTATTCACATTTTCGCAATGACACTCATGTTGATTCTAACATCGAAGAGATCGGATAGCTACACACATAAAAGCCTTAATTCAGATAAAAGCTGCTTCGGACTTTCGTATTTATGTTTAATTCTTCCAACCTAGTCACAGTCTCTTTCTCCCTCCCACCCCGTTTCTGCCCACAAGACACCACCGGGACCTCAGTGCAGCACAATGGCTCACATCTGGCCAGGGTCAAAAGCTCGGATGGAGAAAGCCCCCACCCTGTGGCTTTCAAGTACACAGCCAGCATGGACCAGCTCCAAGCCATAATCGACCGTGCGGACCATTGCCAACAGGAGCTGGCCTTCCACTGCAAGAAGTCAAGGCTTTCGGCTCGCCACGGTGAGTAATCAGCGTGCTCAGCCATCGTGGGCTGCGGTGCCCACAGGTGGCCGTGGCTTGCCACGGATGCGTGAGAATCTGTGGCCATAATGCTCACGTCACAATGTGGAAGTCACAGAGATGCTTTTCCTCGGAGCAAAGAGCAAGGTCAATAGATATCGCTGCCTGCTCGAAGCTGTGAATGACCTGACGTGCCTTCCCAGACCCCACTAGACAACTGGACAGTGGAAGCCTCCTTACGAGGTTATCTTAGAAAGGATTGCGGACGACATGCGTGGCTTAGTTCTCTCTCCGGGGGTGGTTATTCCGTGAGATTCTTTTGCAGAGACTGAATGTAATTAGCGTCTGGGGTACTTATTAATTAGGGAACAATGTTAGCCTCATGCACCCCTTTCACACACCATGCCTGCTCATGGTTCGTTTTTCATGCCCATTCTGCTCTTGAATATTCTGCTTTTGGTGTTGTATTTTCTTCCTCTGAAATAGCTCATTCTTTCAGAATGGGCAGCCCCCACCCTGCTCGAATGAAACTCCTGGGTTTGTGGGAGGCTGATCAGACGTCTGGGGAGAGGAGTGAGCAGAGGGCGGTAGTCAGGGTTCCCCGGGTTCACGTTCCGAGCCCGTCACTCAGCAGCCAGGGGAGCTGGGACCTTGCTTCGTCCCTCAGAGCCTTCAGCTCTCAGACACTCACCTCGCCAGGCCTTACTCGCACAACGTATAGAAATTGCACCAAGTCAAATGCTACTTATCCGCATCTCTCCAATTTATTGAATTTATAGTTCGTGCTGGAGGGCTCAGCGCGTACTGTGAGCTGATTGCTGCTAAATAGACGACTGAGCTAAAATGGAATGTTCCCCGAAGAAGGAGGAAGCGGGCCCCGGGAGAGTGAGGCAGTGCTGTGGAACAAGGCGGGTTGGGCTGTCTCACCAGGGAAACGAGGCGAAGGCAGGGCAGAGTGTGCGAGCCCCTAACACAGTCGGAAAACAAACCCACTGGGTGAGTCCGGGAGCAAACTCGCGCACGTGGTCTGTCCCAGAACCTGGACACCGCTGCCTCAGTAGAGAATTCCCACTTGGAAGGCCGGTGTCCGCCTGTGGATTTGCAAGCGATCACTCCTTGATTGTCATCCTTTCCATATCAATACAGAAAGCAGCAGCAACAGCAGCAGCAAAAACAAGTATTTAATTGGGGTTGGGGTAAAGGTGGAAAGAGAAAACGCTTTCCAACTCGTTGAACACTCGCTACAGGGACAAAGTGAGGGATTTTTATCTGTACACACTCAAGCAGGTGCTTTTCTTTCTTTCTTTTTTTAACCTTTTTTATTTTTGAGAGAGAGAACACAAGCAGGGGAGGGGCAGAGAGAGAGGGAGACGCAGAATCCGACGCAGGTTCCAGGCTCCGAGCGGTCAGCACAGAGCCCGACGCGGGGCTCGAACTCACCGACCTCGAGATCATGACCTGAGCTGAAGTCGGACGCTCAACCCACTGAGCCACCCAGGCGCCCTGCAGCTGCATTTCTGATATTCTGCCACTGGCCACTTTGTGGCACAAAGTCAATGTAGACAAGTTCGGTACAGACCTGTGTAACTCCAGAGTCTCTTAATTACAGTATACATGAGGTTGGCCTAAAATAGTGTAGCCTAACACACCCGACACTTGTTGCACACTGATTTGCTGTGCGTTATTGATAGGCACGAACAGACGTGGGGGCATGATGCTACCCCGTGCGAAAGGAGTGGCCACAACCAGCCTTCCCCTGGAGCCTTCGCTAGAATGTCACCATGGCAAAAATCGCTCAAGGCGGCTGCACTGTGGGGACCACGTAGCTCAAGAACGTCATAAAACGCATTGGGGAATGAGAGTCGACATCCACTTTCCCCCAAGAATTTCCCTCTGTTCAAATTCTCAGACATTGCCAGGAGCCTGAGGTCTTGTTAATTGTGAGAGGAGATGAAGCAGGGCTGGGCCTCGCTGCAGCAACCCCCGTGTCCTGCGGTTTCCAGGAGGGCTAGGAGGGCTAGTGGGGAGCAGATGGGCCTTGACTCTTGTTAGGGTCCCACAGCGTCTTCCTTTAGCAGCTGTTAGGTCTCTATGCTATAGATGGCTTCAGGGGACATGATTATGGGTGGCTAAAGAGGGAGCTCGGGGGGGGTGGTAAGTGTTGATTTCAGGTAACTTCGGTCTCCGTACCGTGGACACTAAGGTCCCTGAGGATTGTAGTTATGGCTGGCGTGAAGGACAGCCAACCAGGGACCGATGATGGGGGCCGGGAAGCCATGTTCCTTTCCATTTCGGCTTTAGTTCTTCTTCGTGTTGTTCTTACTGATTCCTCATGCAAATTCTCCAGATTTCGCAAAGAAATCTTGAATGGAGCCAAATGCATCCTGTACCACTAGCAACCCCCGATGCTTCTTACTTTATAGAGAAAATGAAAAATTCCGATGTAAACAAACAATTGTGCATTTAGGTGCAATGATTCTTTTCGCTCCCCGATCTAGGAAAGAGTGAGTGTTGAATAATCATGTTTTCCAAGTGGTGTTTTGAAAAATATCTGTTCTGTTGGAAAGCTCTTCTACCCCCTACAGATAAGTTTTCAACACACTGGGGGCCGGGGGGAAGACCGCGGATATTGATTTCTTGGTACACATCTCCCCCAGTGGGCCTGCGGTGGGTGGTAATGAATGTGGCCGGTGTGTTTGCAAGCTGGGAGGTTGCGGGCAGACGGGAAGTCTCATGGGACAGGGAGCCATGATGAGCAGGGGTGGTTGTAAGTTAGGGAGAAGCTGGGATGTCTTCCAGATGCCCGGTGGGGGGCGGGGGGTGCTGGATGGGGACGGCCTGAGGGTTTGACAGAGCACGCTAAAATGGACCAGCATCTCTGCAGGCCCACTGAGGGATGTCGCTTCCATTGGCCCTCCTGCTCTGATGCTCTGTTTATTAGGTACTGTTTTCCTCCACGCTCCTGAAGGCCCACCTTCCTGACCATCCTCAACCTCCAGGTGGCCTACAGTCCCACCCTGGGGCCTCAGCAGCGGGTTAATTGCGGGTTGTACTAGGAAGGAAGTTGTGCTAAAGAATTGAGCTGTGGTAACCGCGGTTGTCCTGAGCCTGGGACGCACCCCAGGCATGGAGAAGGCTCGTCAGGACCTTGTCTGTAGTTTCCAACTACAATGCCAACCCATTCAGTATAAGAAGAAACACACGTCTCCATGAGGCTTCTAAGACCTGACAGGAAGGACCAGTGTTTTCCGCTAATAAATAAAGTGAAAGACATCCTTGTTTTGCATGATATTATGTTATTTCAATGGCGTCTTAGGCTCCCGAACAGATTTTAGACTCAGTGTATAAATCACTCTGGTTTTCTTTAGTTTTTTTTTTTTTTTCTTAATGAGAATTCTTTTGTGAATGTTATTTTCAAATAAATTAGGTCATTGGAGTCCTCCAGAGAAATACGTAAATATCACACCTGGATTGAGTTAGGGGCCGCTTGCTCATTTTCTAATAAAAGTAAAACATATGGTGAGAATGTAAGTCTTGATATGGAAATATTCTTTAAACAGTTGGAAATCCTCTTAAAAATTATCCTGTGGCGGAGTTAACATCTGCTCACATCTAAAAGAGTCGCTGTGTTTGAAATAGAGGGGAGCAAAGGACTGTGCTGGGGAGGCAGGCAGTGGGGGGCAAAGTAGGTGTCACTTTTCTCATACTTGTCTTTCAGATGGAACCCCAGTGAGCTGGTGGGTTGGAAGAACCAATGAAACACACACTTACTGGGGAGGTTCTCTGCCTGATGCTCAAAAATGTGCTTGTGGATTACAGGGGAACTGCCTTGATTCTCAATATTACTGCAACTGTGATGCTGACCGGAATGAATGGTGATTTCCATATAATTTCCCTGTGCAAACTGTAATTTTTTTGTTGCTTAAACGATGTGACTTAGGCAGACATTGGACAAGACAGTTCTATAAAGAGAAAAGATTAAAGGATTCCCTAGCAAGCTCAAAGTAGAAGCTTTGATGTGTGCAGTGTAATTAATCTGAAGCCTAAAGTGTTAGGGAGCTGTTTCTGTTTACCTGTGAATAACTAATCATGTCCATTTTATTTTTTGTTTCTAAGAAGACAGAATAGGAATACCAGGTTAACGTCTCCCATTCGCCGGAAGTAAAATACGCAGACTTCCGAAAGTTCAGTTTAACCCAGTTAATAAGATGATTGCCCCACGGTTGACCCAGGGTTGTTTGCTGAACTCCCTCGCTGCTGGCCGTGCTTTTAAATGGCCACGTTGGGGAAACCAAACACGGTCTGGCTTGCACGAAAGGGGAGGTGTGGAACACAAGCCTCTCCGTACCGCTGGAGGTCTCAGGAGGCTTCCAGACCCAAAAAAAAGAAGGCGGAAGACAACAGATCTTCCTGCTAGCGCCCTGGGTAGCAAGAAATAACTCCCTGAAAACTCACATCTACAGACTTACCCTCACGCAGATTTGGAGTCCAATGTCACACGATCCTTGAATTAAGTTAGCGGGGCCGCAGGTTGGCAACGGCGGTGGCTCATCATAGAATTACTTGACGTTCTTACTGGAGGGCATTCCTGCGGGTAAAGGATTCCCACAGATAGAATGCTACCAAACTGGGGCTCTCAATCCAGTGCTACAGAGCCCGAGGGGACAGAAGTGGGAGGCAGAAGACACCACAGAGTAAATAGATGCCTAAAAATCCCAGATCACGGATACGTTAAGAACGTAAGATAAAATCAATGTGGGGAACCGTTTGAAGAATAAGCAGTGGAACGGAGACACGAGAAAGCAATGAGAAAATACTGTTGACGGAGGTGATTGTGATTTACGGAAGAACCAAATGAACGTTTACAAATGAAAACATTGTCATTGAAATTCAAGACTTGTTGGATCAGGTAGTGGACACAGGTGATCAGAAAACTGGGGAAGTGGAAAATGTGTGGATTGTAGCATGGAGAGACACATGGTGGCAGGAAGCAAGGCAGCGACATGGAGGGGTGGTGTGGAGAAGGTTGAACAGGCATCTGAGTCAAGTTTCAAAAGAGAAGGTTGGAGATCATTAAGGGCGATAATCAAATAGCCAAGAAATGCCCAGATGAGAGAAACTACCGGAAACCCAAGCAGGATAAGTAAAAACCAGTCCATTGCCAGACACATCACGGTGAAACCAAAGAAAATTAAAGAGAACGTTAAAGGGAGCAGAAGTGAAAGGAAGTCGGAGCCAGCAGGCCCCTCCCACCCCTCCATGGAACCCAGCGCCACCCACGGGTGCTGGCTCTCCCCTCGCCGTGCACTAGGAAAATGTCCCATTCCAAGCGTGTCCCCAGCTGAGATACAGTGAATGCCCAGACAGACAGACAGACAGACGCTGAAGGAGCATGCACCACCAGCAGACTCCACAAGAGGAAGTTTGAAGAATGATTTTCAGAATGAGAGTAGGTGATCTTGTAGGAGAGTCTCAGGCGCTAGAAGAAATATTGAGTAAAGAAATGTGTAAACTGAGAGGCTAAGAAAATAGGAGATGCATACTGGACACGAGTCATGTATCACAGTATATACAGAATTGAAACGGGAGGAGGCATTCCAATCCCATTACAAAATGATTGTGATTGACAAAGGAGTTAAATTTAGAAATGAAAATGTTATTGAAACTTAACACTTGTTACGTAGATATTTGTCAGCATTATTACACTGTTCATAGCACATACGATTAAAATTTTAAGTGTGACCACTAAAGACTAGCCATGGAGAGTGCAATATTCAAAAGGGATTTGGGTTTCATTTTAATTTTTTTAATAAAGCTTATTTATTTCTTTTGAGAGAGACAGAGACAGCACGAGTGGGAGAGGGGCAGAGAGAGAGGAAGAGAGAGAATCCCCAGCAGGCTCCACACTGTCAGCACAGAGCCTGATGTGGGGCTCCAACCCACAAAGCTGTGAGATCATGACCTGAGCCCAAAGCAGCAATCAGACGCTTGACCATCTGAGCCCCCCAGGCGCCCCCAAAATGGGATTTTAAAAACCTAGTTAATTCAAAAGAAGGGAGGAAATAAAATCTAGAAAAAGAGGAAACAACAGGCAACAAAATAACAGCAACAAAAAAAATGAATAATCATGCACAATAAATGTGACCAAAATAGCCATTTAAATCCAGATAGATCATATTGAACTAAGAATAAGTATATTTCATCTGTACACCTAGAAACATCGAAAGCAAAATGCTGAACACAAGTTTACCAAGCAAGTACGAACAGAAGTAAGTACAGTTTTAAAGTCTTAGTATGGGAGACGATTACTATCACTATATAATAATGCTTTTTAAGTTCACCAAAAAACCCCATAACAATCCTAAATTTGTTCCTGATAAAAATGAGTCAAAATACATATAGAAAATAATTTACCCAACTGAAAGAAGGAATATACAAATCGACCATTGTAGGAAGACATTTAAACATACATCTGTTAACAATTGGTAAATCATGTGGACAAAAATTATTAAGCATACAGAATATTTTTAAGTGAAACCAACAGCTTGTTTTGGTAGCCAGCTAAAATTATAGAATGTATAATTTTCTCAGGCACACGTGGCACATTTTATGTGCAAGTTGATTGTTCTGATATTCTGTAAAGCAAAACCCCCACATTTTGTAATAGTTGTTATCTTATGGGCAATTTCTCTGATTATAGCGCAGTTAGGTTAGAAATGAATAGGAGAGGGATAAAAAATCTACGAGGCATTTGAAAACCGCACATGATTAGAAACAAGGAAATGAAGATCACATTATTCCTAGAAAATATGGTTGTCGACCAGGAAAACTCAAGAGCATGTACAGAAACATTATGAAATTAATCAGAATTTATTTAGTAGGGCTACTTACTGAATCTTGGAATAACTGCATTCCTATGAAGAACGTGTTAAGTATAAGACGATATTATACAAACTACTCGCAAAATCAGCAAAAAGAGTGTAGTACTCTGGAATAAAGATGACACAAGTATGGAAAATTTTTAGGGAAAAGACATCGTAAAACTTTATTATGAGACTCTAAGAAGACATAAGCAAATGGAGGTATCACACAATGGCTGTGAGTGAGAAAAATAAGTAGTTCCTTGATTCCATGTAATGCCAGCGCCAAACATGTGCTTCGTGTTTGGGTCAGTGACAAGCTGGGAAAAAGTACATGGAAAAGCCATGGTAAATAACAACGGAAGACGGAAACAAGGAGAGGTGACGGGCCTTGCTGGACGTGAAGTGTCACGGTGCCGCAGTAATTCAACCGCCCGGGCTTGTCAAAGGGTTTGTCAAATAGAATAGCAAAACCCAAGAGCGAGCCTGGGAGCTCTCAAAATATGTGACTCTGGGTGGTGATAATTAGGTTGTCTCCAGTCTCTCTTTTCCCCCGAACAATTAGGAAATGTGAAAGCCGACCCAATATTTGTTCCCTGTGGCTTTCCCAACAATTCCGAGTCATGACAGCCCCGTTAGACTTCAAAAAGTCCCCCGCAGAACAGCCAGCAGTAAGAATGGTCTCTGGAGCGCTTGGGACTGAAAACAAAAGAGAAGTGGCTTTGGAAGTTTTCTTACTGAATGCTTGGAACCTATCGTGAGAAATCATCATCCCTAGACATGCAATGTTTCCAACTTTTGAAAACAATAGAGAAGCAAGAAGAAAACTGAGATATAACTAAATTAGGCAATTTCGAATGAATCTGGTGACCATGGCAATGAATAACATCCTACGGAAAGCGTAGGCAATTGGGAATGACCTGTGCTGATAAATTTTAAAGTCGGAGCTGTTTCAAATTTCCTCAGAATCAGGAAGTTACTTTACAAACAACGGAATGAGAAAAGAACTTAGTACAATATCTGCCTTCCTACACGCAGTTACCTTTTATGATTTTCCTTAAGTTTTTTTCAGGACTCTGTGCTTTGTCATTGCTAAAAACAGTTAAAAGTGTAGCTTTTTCACTGCATTATAAATGTAGCTTTTAAGTGGTTCTTTAAAATTCAGGGATCCTCAATGAATAACTAATACACTTATGTTTTTACTCTAGAATGTTCTACCAAAATAGCAATGACAAGAATTAAAATGCCTATTTGTAACACTGATTGATATTTAATACGAGGAATTAATTCGGTGCATTATCCCCACATTTATATAACAAGATATATTTTCAGATTGACTCCCCCCATAATCCATGGAATCTTCTAGCTGGTGACCACTTGTTCCCAACAAAGCCAGGAGTTATGTGTTTGGGATGTGTGCTTTCACCCACAGAAATTGCAGGGCTTTAACCAGATAAAGCCATGCGGCTTTATTTAGTCTGGTTTTTGGGAAACACTCTGATTGAAAAAAAAAATTGTTTCTTAACTTTCAGGATATCTAGTTCAAATTTTTCATGTCTTACCATAGGCACTGCCAGTCACGTTGTTGCATTTTTTAAGCAAAATAAAAATGTTAATAATTTTCAACTTTCTACCTTAAAAGAATTACTTTGATGCCTAATCAGAACTGGAATAATTAGCTATTAAGTTATGCAGATTCTTTTTTGCAGCAAAGCTATTGGGCTGAACCGTTTGAAATGGCTGATTGTTTCGACTTGCAAAATTGTCAGTTTCAAGTGCTTCCATTTGTACCTATAAGAGTGAGTGGTGGCTTTGTAATTGTTTGGCATGAAAACTTCCTAGGTTCTGCACAGATACAGGGCATCAGAATGACACATGAGACGAATTATTAAATCAAAAGTACAATTGTATATTGAAATATACAGTAAAAATATGAACAGCTTACAATGTGCAGAAAAATCTTTCTTTGTCCAGAGAGGTGGTTGGTGGTCAGCTGGCTTATTACCCAGGACCTCTGGCCCTTATTCTAGTTTTTGTTGTATTGGAACCATAGCTACGAATGCTGTCTTAAATAATTCACTTACATGATTTGGTTATATTACAATTATATTTTTGTTATAGTCATAATATCTGCTAGGTTTCTTGGGGACATTGTTCGTGGTTTTTATGTCCACGTCCCCAAAACACAGGGCCGGGCAAGTAGAAGCTGTGTAGTAAGTGTTGGTCGAATGGATGGATGGTGACAGCCATGGACAAAGCACTTCCCATGAATTATCTCATTTATTAATTTTAAGTGCACATTGTATCATCCTTTCGATTTGGTTTCGAATCTGTATTTTGTTTTGGGGTTGGTTTGTTTTTTAATTTGTTTTTAAATTTATGGCATCAATAAATAAGGAAATGCCTAGTAACTGCAGTAGGAATTTTGGAAAATATAGTAAAAAAAAAATCTAAGAATTGAAAACCTAAATCTTGTCAGTCAGTTTTTTGTTTTTTTTTTTTTTTTAATGAAGCCAGACAGATCTTGCATGTGTAAGTTCTGCATTTAAATCTTACATGGCGGCTAAATTGGAAAGAGCAGTGAACTGCTTAATTGCAGTGAAAGTGTAATCTCACGCCAGCATGAGGCTCATGATTTTGGACCTGGCCACTTTTCTTCTCTGGGGTCACGTAGACAAACAAAGGTCTCGGGTCCTCAGACGACCTTATTAAAATACGTTACCGTGTAAGCGGTCAGATGGGCCGTTTGATTTCCCCACTGTTACATAGTCACACATTTAGCTAAATACCTTCTTGAACTGCATTGAAAGACTGTTACTTTTCCGGGTATCATTGAGAATAATGTTAAGGTGGTCGTATTTGTTTTGTAGGACCAGCGACACAATAGTCCTTTCCCATAAGGAGCACCTGCCGGTCATTCAGGTTGTGATGAGAGACACAGGCCGACCACATTCAGAAGCCGCGTATGCGCTGGGGCCTCTGCTCTGCTGGGGGGACAGTAAGTAGCGGGAAGAGGAACTGTCTTGACCCCTGAAAACGCGTGTCAGGGTTTCAGGAGAAACGCAGCTGCCCACGTTCGTGAAAACACTACCTACCCTGATAATCCATATTTCATTAGAAATGTGTTAACTTAATAAACGAAGTGTGTGCTGTCGTCGTGACTGAGGAAGAAAAGTGAGAAAATGACATTACCTTTGGAGTAGTGACCTTTCTGCAGTATTGAAATCAGACTCTTGCTGCGAATACTCATGGAATCGTCTGAAATATTCTATCACCTGGTCAGCAAACATCTAACGTATACAGCTAAGTATAAGGCACTTGGCTGAGTGCTGAGATGCCTAAAATTGGTAAGATGATGAGAAATGGGGTGACAGGACCCATCAAGTGGACCTGTTCGTTCGTACCTGTTGGCAATTCTGCAAACCTCAGTGGTTCTGACCACTTACCCCTCCAGCTACATCTGGATTTCTTTCGTATCCTTCCTTCTCTCAAACTCATTGAAATAAAATACATCGGTTCTGCATTTAATTTACCTCTTTCTAACCCCTCAGACCTTCTCCTCCGTCACTCCCTAGAAACTGCTTTTTCCAGCTCACCAATGAGACCTCGATGTTGCTAAATCCAAATTTTATTCTCCGGTGTTGTCTGAGTTGACCTTTATCGGCCACTTTGGTCTCCTTTCCTGGTTCGCCTCCTTACTGCCAACATACCGCAACATTCTGGGTTCCCTCCATCTTCCTTCACTTCACCAGTGGCATCGTGTTTTGGGGTCCCCCGAGCTTCAGCCCCCCTTCTCTCTGCCCTCCAGCTGTTCCCAACAGGCCCATTGGGGACATTGGCATAACGCGTACCACACTGATGTCAGTGAGTCCCCTGTCTACACCTCAAGCCCAGTCTCCCTGAACTCCCAACCCTGGCATCCAGCTGGCTGTTCGGTACCTTGGCTTGTATTTCCCTAGGCATTGCGAAATCAGTTTGTTGAAAATGAGGGGAAAAGTGTTTCCGCAACAACCCTCTCCACCTCGGTACACAGCAACTCCATTCCCCCTTTGCTTAGACTGAAAACATGGCGGTCACTCACAACGTCTTTCTTTTCCCAACACACATCTAATTCACCCACAAGTCGTGTTGTTTCCAACTTCAAAATGGATCCAAATGCACCTTCATGACCACCAGCACCTGGGTTGTTGCTGCGGCTTCGCCGGCCTGTCTGCTGCTGCCTTTTCCCCACCGAGCTGATACTCCACCTGACAGCCAGGCGCCCAGGTCAGGCCATGTCGGTCCTCTGCCCCGAACTCTGCAGTGGCACTCACGTCAGAGGAGAGGCCAAAGCACAACGTCCACCGAGGCTGTGGCCTTCTGAGCCCGTGGAGCCACACAGCCCATCCCGTAGGAGATGTTGCCTTGTGAAGAAATTCTGACACTTCTCAACCTTGCTATTGAGAAAAAGTAAGCGTTTCCTATCTCGGACAACGTCAGTTTTGAGACGTGGAAAGTCAAAATGTGAAGAACGTAGTCACGTGCCTTGACTGAATGGTAGCAGGAAGAGATTTTTTTCCACTTGTGATCTTAAAAGGCAGACCACGGTTCTGTTTCTGGATAAGATGAAGTTAGCACGCCCCGGCTCCCCTCTCCCCAAGGGTCCCCCTCTAAAACCTGGACAGGATGCCTTGAAGCAGCCGTCTCGGGACGCTGGGAAGCAAATAGCAGCAAGAAAGAGAAACCAGAATGCACCGTTTACGTTTCCCCCCAGCATCGCTCGGCCTTGGTCCCAGATGCGGACTTGGGTCACAGATAGACAGGGTTCCAAGAGAAGCCCTCTAGCCCCGACCGGAGGAGAGAACAGAGGAGTCCCAACTCTCAGGGAATGCAGGGATGCCAGTTCTCTCTTTTTCTGGTGTTTTCTGAGGCCCCAGTCCCCAGGCAGAGCCATGGAAATAGCAACAGAAGTTGCTCCGGGAGCTCACAAGAGCCAGAACTTCAGAAAGGACCTTTTGCTCTGAATAGGGCAGCTTTGGTTCAGAGACCATAGGCGGACTCCCGTTATTTTTGTTTTCTTTCTCTTCTCACCCGTCGCTTGGCGATGGACGTGGTCGAGTCGCAGAGATGCATAGAGCACACAAGGGAGCAGGCTAAAAACGACCCTTTTTCTGGTCCCGTGATTGAGAAGGGAGACCAGGGGACCAGAAAGTACCTGGAAGGGCCCAGAGAGGGAACCGTTCAGGAAGGCGTGCCATACGTCGTTTACGAAGTCCTGGGCTCACCTCAGAGCTACTGGATCTGATCCGAGTGGAACTGACCCGAATCCCAGACCACAGAAGTTGAGAACTGAGCGGAGCGGCTACCACCCAAGACCCAGACTGGCCACTGGGTGGCGCATGAGGGAGGCAGATCTGAATAGTACTGCAAAACCTTTGCAAACTGGACTGCCATTAGAGACAGCCCACAGAAGGCCCGTTGGAATGTGTGGCCAGATCCTAACCAGGCCGACTACCTGCAAAATAACTAAATGAATAAAAAATAAATTAAAAAGTATAAAAAAATAAGATACATACAGGTAGATATAGATGCGTATATATATATATCGGTATCTATATACAGATATCTTTATCTGTATATAGATATTGAAATCTATATGTCTATATTCAACATGCTCCACAAACTTTAAACAAAGCCTGGAGTTTGTTAATATACTATTTAAAATATCTAGGAAATAATCCAAAATTACTTAGCACAAAGAACCAGGAAAATCTAAGCTGGTTTAGGAAAATACAATCAACAGATACTAATGCAAATACGATACAGAGGTTAGAATTATCTGATAGAGTTTGAAACCGCTATTACGTAAGAGCCCTAATAAGTAATCATAAACACTTTCTTAACAAATGGAACAAGAGCACTTCATCAGAGAAATAGGCTCTATAAAGAGCTAAATGAAAACTTTTGAACTGAAAAATACAGAAACTGAAATAAAAGATGCCCTAGAAGGGCCAAATAGCAGATCTGAGATGAAACGGTCAGTGACCTTAAAGATGAATAGAAATGATTCAATCTGAACAAAAGAAAGGAAAAAAAACAAATCTAGAAACGAACAGGGCCTCAGGGAACCATGAGTTACCAAGAAAAGATCTAACATTCATGTAATTGAATACTCAGAAGCAGACAGAAGAGTGTGGTACCGGAAAAAATATCTTAAAAAAATAATGGCCGAAAATCTTCCAAGTTTGGCAAAAGACAGACTTGAGAAATTGAATGAACTTCAAACGGGATAAACTCAAAGAAATTCACGTCCAGACACATCGTAATCGTACTGCTGCGAATAAAGGCAGAAATTTTTTGAAATCAGCCAGAGAGAGTAATGCGTCCTCTATAAGTGAACACCAACCCAAATGGCAGTGACTTTCTCATTAGAAATATGAAAGCCAGAGTAAGTGGTAGAACATTTCTCAAGTGCTAAAAGTAAAAGGTTGTCAGTCCGGAATTCTATATTCAGCAAAAATCTCCTTCAGGAATGAAGATAAAATAAAATTCTCAGACGAAGGGAAGCTAAAAGCATTCGTTACCAGAAGATGCTTTGAAAGACTTTCTAAAGGAAGATTCAGACAGAAGGGAAATGATATCAGGAGGCAATCTGGGACATCAGGGATAGAAAAACAGCATTAAAATTGGTAAATATCTGGGCCTCCTGGGTGGCTCAGTCAGTTCAGTGTCCGACTTTAGTTCAAGTCATGATCTTGCAGTCCTTGAGTTCGAGCCCTGCGCCAGGCTCTGTGCTGACCGCTCAGAGCCTGGATCCTGCTTCAGATTCTGTGTCTCCCTTTTTCTCTGCCTCTCTCCAGCTCACTCTCTGTCTTTCTCAAAATAAATAAATAAATAAACATTAAAAAAAAACTTTTAAAAAAATGTTTTAAAAAATATTTACCCAGATATGGTAAATATCTGGGTAAGTTTAACAGACTGTTCTACTGTTGAGTTATGTAAAAATATCTGAGGGTTAAAAGCAAACAATACAACATTTCATAGAGTTTTTAATGTGCACAGATGTAATACGTTTAGCAACAACAACATAAAGGGGAGCAGGGAAAGTGACAGAATTGTTGGTGACATTTTTACAAATCAGCCAAGGTGGTTGAAATGGAGATTCTGAACAGACTGTAAGTACATGTAAATACTTATACTGTAAGTATATGTAAGTACATATACTGTAATTTCTAAAATAACCAATCAAGGAATAGTTATGGAAAAATAAAAACAGAATACTAAAAAATGTTTAAATAACCCAAAAGGAGACAGAAAAGGCGAAGCAGATGAAAAAAAGGGTGTAACAAACAGGAAGAAATAAAACGGTAGAACCAAATCCCACATGTCGACATTTGTATTTGATGAGATTGGTCTAAGTGAACCAGTTGAAAGACCGATTGTTACAAGTCAACTATGTATTGTGTACAAGAAACTCACTTCAAATATAATGACATCAGAAGTTTAAAAATAAGGACAGGAAAAGACACACTGCCTAATTACTAATTAGAATAAAGCTGGACTTTCTATATTAAAATCTTTGCTTGAAAGCATAGAAAATTAATAGACACAAGAAGTGATTAAGAGGACATGAGAATCTTAAATGGGTGTGCTAATAACTGAGCTTCAAACTACATAAAAGCAACAACTGCCAGGATGGAAAGGGGAAATGGACAAATTCATAATTATAATTAGAGAATCCAATATGCCTCTCTCATTAACCTATGCAACTAAGAGAGGGAAAATGAGCAAGGGTACAGAAGCTTGAATGTCGCCACAAAACCAACAGAATCCGATGGACATTTATGGAACTCCCTCCCAACAGTACAATACACATTCTTTTCACATGCACACGGATATAGCGTATTCTTTGTCACAAGAAAACTTTAGCAACTACCAAATAAATCATACAAAATGCATTCTTTGGCATCAATGGATTAAACTAGAAGTAAGTAACAAAGACAGTGAGTGTCTCCACAAACATTCAGAAATTTAACCCCGAACTGTTAACTAATAAACGAGTCAAGGAGGTCTCAAATGGATATTATGAAACATATGGACCTGTATAATAAGGAAAATCTAACATATCAAAATGGTGGGGTACATTTATGGCGGTGCTTATAGGGGTATTTATAGCATTGAATGCTTGTGTTTTGGAAAAAAAATTCAACTCTATAAGCTTTTACCATAAGAAACTAGAAAAAGAAGAAAAAGTAATTCAAAGTAAGCAGAAGGAAGGAAATAATAAAGATATGAAGAGAAAGCCATTCCATTAAAAGCAGACCAATAGAGATCTATAAGAGGAAAAAATATTTTTGAAAGATCAATAAAATGGATAAATCTCTAGCAGAACTGTTGAAAGAGAAAAGAGAAAAATTACCAATGTGAGGAGTGAAAGCTGGAGTATCACTACAGACCCCACGGACATCAGTAGCATAATAATGGCAATCTCCAAACAACTCTACACACATACATTTTCCAACATAGATAAAACAGATCGATTCCTTGAAAACCACTAACGACTAAAACTCACTCAAGATGAAACAGACAACTGGAACAGACCTAAAAGTAGTCATGGAATTGAATCCAGTCTGAGATGGTTTTGCTGGTGAGTTCTCCCAAAGAAATAACACCGTATTTGCACAATCTCTTTTGGAAAATAGAAGAGGAAATTCTTCCCAAAATTACGTGAGGCCAACGTGGCCCCGATATCCAAACTAGACAAAGAAAATGCAAAAAAAAAAAAAAAAAAAAAAAAAAAAAAAGATAACTACAGATAGCATCATCACAGACATATTTGCAAAAATCGTCAACAAAACATTAGTAAATAATCCAGGAATATGGGGCACCTGGGTGGCGCAGTCGGTTAAGCAGCCGACTTCAGCTCAGGTCACGATCTCGCCGTCCACGAGTTCGAGCCCCGTGTCGGGCTCTGGGCTGATGGCTCAGAGCCTGGAGCCTGCTTCCGATTCTGTGTCTCCCTCTCTCTCTGCCCCTCCCCCGTTCATGCTCTGTCTCTCTCTGTCTCAAAAATAAATAAACGTTAAAAAAAATTAAAAAATCCAGGAATATATGAAAGAATGATACGTCGACACTGACGGATTTACCCCAGGATGCAAGACTGATTCAGTGCAGCTGATCCTGGGACAACACAGGTTTGGACTGTGCAGGTGCACTTATATGCACATTTTTTCCCCCAATAAATCAGTACAGTCTTGTAAATATTTTCTCTTCATTATGGTTTCCTTAATAATATTACGCTTTCCCTGGCTTACTTTATTATAAGAATACGGCATTTAATACATATAACACACAAAGTATGTGTTGACGTTACCAGTAAGGCTTCCAGTCAACAGTAAGCCATTAGTAGTTAAGTTTTGGGGGAGTCAGAAGTCACACATGGATTTTCAACTGTGCAAAGGTCAGTGCCTCTAACCCCCTGGTTGTTCAGGGGTCAGCTGTGTTTGGAAATCAGTCAATGTAATCTACCATTTTAACAGTTGAAAGAAGAAAAATCCCACCAGATGCTTTTTCTGCATCAATTGATAGAAACACAATAATTCGTATTATGATTATATCATGAATCAATGTGGTAATTTGTATCACGATAGCATCCACAATGAAATTCTTAGCAAACTACGAATAAAAGGGAACTTCTTCATCCTAATAACGAGTACGCCTATCCAGAACACCTAGCATAATTATTGGTGAAAAACTGATCCCCGCCTTCCCCCCGCAAGACTGGGAACAAGATAAGGATATCCAATCGCACCACTTCTGTTCCACAATTTCAATCATACTAGAAGTCGTAGCCAGTGCAATAATGTACGGAAGGAAGGGAGAAGCATACAGGTTGGAAAACAAGAAAGAAGACTATTCACAAACACGTGCTTGATTGGCACGAGTGTTTATAGAAGCTCTGTTTGTAAATGACCGAATCTGTCCACTAAATGTGGACAAAGAAATGGCGGCCCCATCCACCTGGTGGAATACTACAGAATAGTAACAACAAGTGGCAACCCGAGTGAATCTCAGAGGCTTTATGCTGAGTGAAAAAAAAAGCCAATGTCAAAAGGAAAAGGCAAAACGAGAGATCATGGTAGGCAGGGCTTGGGGGTGGGTGGAGGGTGTGACTATAAGGAAATAGCAAGAGGGAGTTTTGGGGGGATGGAACTATTCTTTATCCTGATTTTGGTGATGGTTGTACAAATCCGTGTGTGTACTTAAAAAAAAATCTTTTTAATGCTTTAAATTATTTTTGAGAGAGGAGAGAGAGAGACAGAATGCAAACAGAGGGGAGAGAGAGAGAGGGAAACACAGAACTAGAGGCAGGCTCCAGCCTCTGAGCTGTCAACACAGAGCCCGACCCAAGGCTCGAAGTCGTGAACTGCGAGATCATGACCTGAGCCGAAGTCGGACACTTAACTGAGCCACCCAGGCGCCCCTCCACGCATGTATTAAAACTCATGTAACATCAATTTTTCTCTAAAAGTCAATTTTACTCTATGATAATTTCATTTTTTTTTTAGGTTTATTTATTTATTTTGAGAGAGAGAGTGCGAGCAGGGGAGGGGCAGAGGAAGGGAGAGAGAGAATCCCAAGCGGGCTCTGCACTGACCGAGCAGAGCCTGACGCAGGGCTCAAACTCAGGAACCCTAAGATCATGACCTGAGCCAAACTCCAGAGTCGGACGCTTAATCGGCTGAGCCACGCAGGTGCCCTTCTATGATAATTTTAAAATAATATTGTTCTCTTTAAAAAACACAGGCCGTTTCCAGTGATTATCTCCCCTGATGGCATTTAACAGCAAAAAATGCTAGAAATCCAAAATGTATTGTTTGTTGTGTTTCATCGCTATTGTCGCTGTCTTTTCTTTTTGGAAACAGATTCATTTTGGAACTCGGCTTCCTTCAACACGGAGACTTCATACCTTCATTTCCCTACGTTCCGCGGAGAGTTCAGTGCTGATGTGTCTTTCTTTTTTAAGACAACAGCTCCTTCTGGGGTGTTTGTAGAGAACCTGGGGATCACAGACTTCATCAGGCTAGAGCTACATGGTGAGTCGCCCCCCGGACGAAGCCTCCAGGCGCTCAGGAGTTAACAGTGACCCCTTTGAGAACCTAACTCCTGCCACATTGCGATGTGCTGTCACTTGTATTTCTTTCGTAAATACTAAGGTTCTATTATTTTGCTTCGCTATTTTTAATAGAGAGGAAAACAGTGAGTCAGAAAACACATACCAGTCTGTGGAGCAGCACTTAGCTGCCCTAACTGTGTGTGGGATCAGGCTATTTAAAACCAAACTGGTCAAATAACTCACTACGTTGCAGAATCACTTCATTTAATTGACTGGTTACATCACTTACGCATGTACCTCAAAGCGCAGTTCCTTACTTCAGAGTTTCTTGTAGTGGGGCGCCTGAGTGGCTCAGTGGGTTAAGCATCTGACTTCAGCTCAGGTCACGATCTCACGGTTGGTGAGTTCAAGCCCTGCGTTGAGTCCCGAGTAGGGCCCCCGCCTCTGGCTCTGTGCTGACAGCTTGGAACCTGGCTCCTGCTTCAGATTCTGTGTCTCCCTCTCTCTGCCCCTCCCCTGCTTACACACACACACACACACAAACACTCTCTCTCTCTCAAAAATAAATGAGCATTAAAAATTTTTGGGGTGCCTGGGTGGCGCAGTCGGTTAAGCGTCCGACTTCAGCCAGGTCACGATCTCGCGGTCCGGGAGTTCGAGCCCCGCGCCAGGTTCTGGGCTGATGGCTCAGAGCCTGGAGCCTGTTTCCGATTCTGTGTCTCCCTCTCTCTCTGCCCCTCCCCCGTTCATGCTCTGTCTCTCTCTGTCGCAAAAATAAATAAATGTTAAAAATAAATAAATAAATAAATAAAGTATATGAAGATTTAAACCACCTTTAAATAAACCCACTTATACATCTGAAGCCAGCTAATACATTAGTTTTCTTCCTCTAGGTGACTATCTCGACTCTTTAGGGTTTTTAGCAAGATGGACAGTCTGCTCTGAGCAGGAATGTGTTAAAATCGCTTTGTTTCTCTTCCTCCGGGATACAGATTTATCTTGCCCTCCAAGCCAGCTCAGCGTGACACATGCGTGCACCCGTGTCACTGTCTTGTGCTTTCATAAGGGGCATGTCATGGCACTTGCCTCCTGTCTTGATAGACTGAACTTCCTCCCCCGTGACCCAACCGAGTGACGCTCCGTATCTGTATTTGCAGCTCCCTCGGAAGTGACCTTTTCCTTTGATGTGGGGAACGGACGTTGCGAGGTCACGGTGCGGTCACCCACCCCCTTTAATGACAACCAGTGGCACCACGTGAGGGCAGAGAGGAATGTGAAGGAAGCGTCGCTTCAGGTGGACCAGCTCCCCAGCGAGACCCAAGCTGCACCTGCCGACGGGCACGCGCGGTTGCAGCTCAACAGCCAGCTCTTCGTGGGTGAGTGCGGCCGGTTTCTAGCTGAGCGGTGTGGACCCAGAGAAAGTCCTAACTGGACAGGCGGTGACGGCAGCCAGCAGACTTCTGTCTGCGCCTTGGGCCGAGCGCCCATGTGATAGCATCCCTTTCCCCAGATCGTTACTATCGTTCCCATAGACTGTTGTCATTGATTACGGCCTCCCTAGATTTCCCAGTCTCAAAACTCCGAGAGCAGAGACACCCTGTCCGCGGTGGACTCACTCCCAGGCTTGCGCGCAATCGCACCGATGACTCGCATTTGTTTTTGTTACTTCTTGTCAATAGGACTTCCGTTAGCAATTTTCATCCGAGTCTCCCGCTCCCCGTCTCAGGGAAGTTGGAGAACCTGCCTTGCGATCGTGGCGGGGCTCGCCAAGTGTCCCCTCACACGCAGACCGGAGGAGACTCGCGTGGCCGTGCCCCCCAGGACCACGCCAGCCGCGGCTCCTCAGCGCCGCCCTCCTGCAGCTCAGTCCTTGCAGACGCCAGGTTCAAAAGCGGACTCTGGCTCCTTATCCTGGGTGCCCGTTCTTTAAAGATCAACGGCTCTGGGGAGTGGGAATCTTCCCCTTTCATTTGCTTGCTCATTTTTTATAATTTTTTCTCTTGCCCACGGGGAAAGTTAAGTTTTGCTACGTGGCTTTTCAGACAACTCTGTTCTAATTTGGAAAACGAGCAGATTACTGAAGTAGCTCTTACTTGGTCATTTTTCATGTATTTTCAAGTAAATAAGGATGCGGTCTAAATTAAACACTGATCTAAATCACAAATTAGCACTCAGTGTGCTTTGCCAGGGGATACCTACAGCATCTGGAGGCTGGTGCCGTGTGGGGAGTTCGTGAGTGTGTGTGTGTGTGTGTGTGTGTGTGTGTGTGTGCGCGCGTACAACCCATGGCCCCATAAACGTCTGCTTCCAGCACAGTTCTTACCGGGTAGGCTTCACATCAAGTCGCGACGCTGGAGCAAATGAAATAATTTTATTTTCTGATTTGTAATGCTGAAGACTGACTCATGGAATTTCTAGGAACAGAGTTTGCATGAGCGTCTACCTAGAAGTAACATTTCCACTGAGATGTTTCTAGAGCCTGAGAAGCTAGCGGAACATTCTGATCTGGCGTATGTACCCCAGGCCCACTGAATCAGAGTCCCTGCGAATGAACCCCACCTCGGTTCTTAGCATGCATTCTAGGTGACTCCTGGGCACCCAGGTGTGAGAATAGGCTCCCATGAGACATGATAGAAATACAGAGAGTTACAGTGTTCAGTTAGTGTTACTCCCCCTGATCTGAGAGCTGGATTTCATGGATTTGTCATTGATGGCACGTCTAAGAAGGGTTGCTATTACATATATAATTTATTATATACATATGTATAACAAATATATAACAAAAATGTATACATAACAAACGCATATACAGATTTTAATGTATATTACATATGTTCCATATATACAACAAAACTCTTGTATATTTTACGTATACCTATATATACATACATGCATAATTGTATATTTTAATATACGCATTTGTAATATATATCCTATTGCAAAGATTTTCACCTATGTAACTTTACTGTGCACCTCATAGTTTCTATGCTTAAACATTAAAAAGGATAAGTGGTCTTCTGTTTTTTATGAAGGAAGCAATGTAAAAATGTAGAAATCTTTCTAAATCAAACTCGAAGAAGTATTTTTAAAATTTTTTTAAAGTTTATTTCTTTTTGCGAGACAGAGCGACGGAGCACAAGTGGGGGAGGGGCAGAGAGAGAGGGAGACACAGAATCCGCAGCAGGCTCCAGGCTCCGAGCTGTCAGCACAGAGCCCGATGGGGGCTCGAACTCACAAACCCTGAGATCATGATCTGAGCCGAAGTCGGACACTCAGCCGACTGAGCAACCCTGGAACTCCAAAGAAGTATTTTTTAGAATAAATATTTACCAAGGCCGACTTCAAAAATACTTTTGTCAATGGCTTTAATCAGTGTCGTTTGGTGATTCTGAATATTTGATCACAGCCTCTGTTTTCAAAATTGTATTTGTTCATAAAACTTTGGACGGGTCACTTTTTTGACATTATCTGTATGGCCTCCGTGGGACGTGAAGACGAAATCCCGCAAAGACACGCAAGAACACATTTGCATTTGCAGTGTTTCCCTTGCAGGCGGGACGGCCACCAGACAGAGAGGCTTCCTGGGGTGCATTCGGTCGCTGCGGCTGAACGGGCTGGCCCTGGACCTGGAAGAAAGAGCGACAATGACGCCGGGCGTGGAGCCAGGGTGCCCGGGACACTGCAGCAGCTACGGACACCTGTGTCGCAACGGAGGGAGATGCAGAGAGAGACACAAGGGTATCGCTTGTGACTGCACCTTCTCTGCCTACGACGGGCCATTCTGCGAAAATGGTGAGTGTGACCCACATGCGGGACCGGGACCCGAGAGGACGGCGCATCATTTTCCCGTTCCCTTTGTGTTTCTGCCATCTGACCCTGTAAAGAAGGGATAAGGCAATTCTCTGTGATTAGCTTAAATAGACTCATTTCGGTCCCGAATTTCTGTGTTTAACTTGGAAAGAGGCATGATTCTATTCTTGAGAAGCTCGTGACTACTTCTGTTAGATCCGGAATCATCAACACGGAGAACCACGGTAGCCAAAGCTATGGAAATCTTGAGGGGAATTTTGCAGGCAATAAGAAAATACTGAGTTCTACGTTATGGGAATGTGGGTGGGGATGTTATCTTTCTATCCATACTTGATTATTTTCTTTAATCTTAAATATGATTAAATGTTTAAAACAATGAACAAAGCATGCCATTATTATCTTCTCTCTTGAGATGTTTAAGAGTTAGAGATATTGTCGGGGCGCCTGGGTGGCTCAGTCGGTTGAGCATCCGACTTCGGCTCAGGTCATCATCTTGCCGTTGACAAGTTCGAGCCCCGCGTCGGGCTCTGTGCTGACGGCCTGGAGCCTGCCTCAGATTCTGTGTCTCCCTCTCTCTCTGCCCCTCCCCCGCTCATGCTCTGTCTCTCTCGGTCTCAAAAATAAATAAACATTAAAAAAAAATTTAAGAGTTAGAGATATTGTGTAACTATCCATTAAGAAGAGCCTTGTTCTTGTTCTTCTTATGTTATTGGTAACATAACGAAAACGAGTGTCATTCCAGAGATTTCTGCATATTTTGGAAGCGGTTCGTCCGTCATCTACAACTTTCAAGAACATCATAATCACACCTTTGGTAAGAACGCCAGCTCCTTGGCGGCTTTATTTCATGAGGATCTGACGCTGACCGGAGAAATGGCCACACTGAGCTTCCGGACCACAGGGGCCCCCAGCTTACTTCTCTACGTGAGCTCCTTCTACGAAGAGTACCTATCAGTTATCCTTGCCCCCAATGGTGAGTGTCAGACTCTACGAACAAGAAGACTGACTTAGGATATCAGGACCACATGGGGTGGGGGGTGGGGGCTTTTCCAGCATTAAACCGCAAAAAAGAAACACAATTGCAAGGCTTATAGATTCTCATTCTCTTAGGGGTAGTTTATTTTTCATGATAACCTCAATGTTTATCACTAGAGTTAACATTTCCATGGTTCCATTCAAGATGCCATTCTCCCGTGGAAGTTTGGTCATTTAATGTATTCCCCGTGCAGATGTGTGCCTTGCTCTTCTCGGGGTCTTTCCTACCAGACACGAATAATCTAAATTAGTTTTGCAATTCACTTTGAAACAAGATATCTCATTCTGCACATGGAGAACGTTTCCTCCTCCTTCTAAGCGAAGAAGTATATTAAACCATATAAAATCTAATCTTGATCAGCATGGGCTGAGTAGGATTGTTCTTTACCCATCAGTGGTTGAGCCTTTCAGGTCATCTCTACGTACAAAGAAAAGTGGGAGGAGAGCTACCCCACCCATGGCCACCAGGGTTTTCCAAGACTTTTCCAGTTGGAGAGCAAAACCAAGTTGGAACCTTGCCTCACAGAGAAGCAGGGCAGAAACTTGACCTTCTGGAGCATCTATGACAGACAGGAGTCAGTGGTGCATTTGTGGATAACTTGAGATTTAGATACTGTAGCAAATCATTTCTCTTTTCTCTGTTTCTTGATTATGGCAGAAACATTAGGGAGAAAATTCTGGTTGTGCAAAAAAAAAAAAAAATCCTTATGCAAATGTCAGCAATACATTAAAATGCATTAAAGTAAGTCACCTTAAAAGAAGTTACGCTTATAGAAACTGAATGTTAATGCAATATTGCTTGAGGTTTTACCATTTAATAGTATGAATACCACATGAATAATTGACTTAGAGCCTAGCTTGGAGTTTTTATATGCTTAACTTAGACTTATTCCTTTAGTTAAGGAAAATGGCAGAACTTGGAAAAAGACCATTTGGTCTTGACTTTTAAAATAGCGTTTACTAACATTACACTGCGTGTTAACTAACTAGAATTTAAATAAAAACTTAAAAAATAAAATAAAATAAAATAAAATAAAATAAAATAGCATTTAATTGGATTCTCAGGGTGCCTAAGTGGCTCAGTCTGACTTCAGCTCGCAGTCTGAGTTTGGGCCCCACGTCGGGCTCTGTGCTGACAGCTCAGAGCCTGGAGCCTGCTTCAGATTCTATCTCCCTCTCTTTCTCTCTGCCCCTCCCCAGCTTGTGCTCTCTCTGTCTCTCTCTCAAAAAGAAATAAACATGAAAAAAAATTTTTTTAAATAAAATAGTGTAATTGGATTCTGAATTCAGCCCTGGAATAGCACACGTACAATCAGTCTTCCAGGAAAAATCCTTGGTGTGCTAAGTGAATGCCCACTGGATTCAAATTGTATTAAATAAATAAAAACAAAATATGCTCTAGAACCTGCGTCGACAGGTTTTTTTAAGATTCTAGTTTAGTTAAAAATGTCATTTTTCTCTTCTTTAGGAAGTTTGCAGATCAGGTATAAGCTGGACAGAAACCAGGCACCTGACGTTTTTAACTTTGGTTTGAAAAACCTTGCCGATGGGCAGTTTCACCAAGTGAAGATTCACAGGGAAGCGGCCATGGTCTCTGTAGAGGTAAGGGGGTGGATTCAGCCACAGCAACAGTCCCCAAACTTGTGACGCTCAGAATGCGTGACTTCAAGCAAACCTTTGACAGTAAATCCTAATAAAAGAGATACACATTCAGCGTGGTCTTTCCGGAAGTCTTGGGGACAGAAAATGTAGTTCGAGTGTTTGGTTTAGCAATTCTTGTGTTGTTCAGCAAGAGGCTGATGGAGTTATTGTTAATATTTGACCATTTCGAATGAATGCTAAGCTGTCCTTGTCGGTAGGGGAATGTTGTCTGGTTTACAGCGACTGCTGGAGATATTCCGATGGGAACTTGTTCCCATCTGACTACAAAAAAAGCAAGTGCCATAGAAATGTAAACACAAGGGGAAAAGCGAGGTTTTGCTTAAAGTGGGAATACATTTTTAAAAACATCGGTATTTAAATGATTCATTGGCACTGGGCTTTGAATAGCCTTTATGTATTGAATCTGTGCGAATAATACCTTTTCCGGCTCGTTACTAATTTCTATTCGAAATAAGTAAAAGCTTTAAGGTTTGCAATAGCTCATTGCGTCTCTTTGTGGATTATACCAATTATAGACCCTTAAACCACGAAGAAGAACAGGGAAAAGAATAAGGAATGGGGTGGTGTGAAATCTGAGTTATTATAAAAATTGTTATGCAACAGCTTTCTCCTTTTAGCCTCTGTGATAATTCGAACATATGGCTGATTTTTACCGTTTTTCTTGGTGTCCCTGTGATTCCCTCTCTCTTACCATCAAAATTGCTTGCCATTTTGATGTTTGCTTCTCGTGGAACGTTTCATAGGTTAACCAGAATGCAAGGAGACAAGTTATCCTGTCATCGGGGACAGAATTCAAAGCTGTCAAATCCCTTATGTTGGGCACAGTTTTAGGTAAGTGGCAGAAAATGCGTCCCCCCACAGCCCATGGGTCAGAAGCGTTAGGTCGCGAACACAGGAAGGGGTCGCGGCGCTGAGTAAGGCTTCTTGTGGTCTTCACGGCTTCCCAGCGAGGGACAATCAAGGTGGAAACTGTTCTCTTGTCCGAGTGCCCCTGCAGTCATGAGTGAGGGCTGTCTTCCAGGCACCAGGGTGATCCCTGAGAAGTCCTTACACTTAACCCTCTCCCTTGGCAATCAGGCAGAACAAAACTCGGCATTTTTCTAGCAAGTGAGGAAAGACAAAATCAAAGCAAATATCAAGGTCACAGATTCTCGATTAATCAGGAGTCAAATGCAGAAACCACTGAATGATAAGTATAGCTTTACATTTACGAGAAGAAGAGAAAAGGCTTAGTTTTCTTGTAGCAAGTGAGTACGTGTCGGGCTGTATATCCTGGGCCCTGCTTTGAGATGTACTTAATGCTCCCAGCTGCTTCTTGGGACGTCGCAGCCTAAAGATCCCGCGCCCGCTCTTGATGGCTGTGAGTTCATGAGAGCTCCAGAGTAAAAATACTATCCTATTTAGGCATCAAATGATTTATGCCTTTATTTTTCCCTTTGTCGCCAAGAATTAAACCGAAAGAAAAGTAGGTTTTGGAAGGTATATCTTTTCTTTTCGATCACTTATGCATGAACTGTCCATGTCATCTACATTTAAAGTTACTTGGCAGAAATCCTCTTGCGGAATATTTATCATTCCTGTTCTGATACGTGACACCCGCCTGGCTCCGTTGAGCCCTGGGTGATCGGTGGAATCTTTGCTAGGTTTCCAGCCATTTATACACGGATCCTTTGATCGTTTCGGCCGCTGCACGCGTGTATAACATCGCAAACTGGAGATTTAGAGAAGGCACGGGAATGGATGTTCAAAATATGTTGAGAAGCACAGTAACTGGGAAAACGATCATATTTTCCAAACAGATGATGGGTAGTAAAATTATGAGTTCTAGTTTTTCAGAGGGAAGGCGAGGAATCCCAGGGTGCTCTTGAAAATGGTAAAAAAACAAACAAACAAACAAACAAAAAAAACCGTGTAATTTAGATGGTGCAGCATCACCGGAAGCTCCAGGCCGGTCATGTGCAGTTACAGGTGGCTGATTACACCAGTGAAGGAGGGTCCGCGAGGTCTTTGCTGGGAGCGTCAGATAAAGAATAGCAGACCTCAGGCTGAAATGGTGGTCCTGATTTATAATCATGCCTTCAAGGTGGATAAAGAAAGGGCCTCCCGATGTGTTGGCAGGAAGGCAGCTGGTGCTGCAGGTGATTTCGTGTGGCTCACGGCTCCGGTCCCCGCGGCACAAGCAAAATAACCATCGAGCAGTTAACCCAGAAATAAAAATGAGGACAGTTGTTTCCCCTTGAGCATTGGCAGAGGTTTATGGCTATTGCAGCCCACTGGGGAGGGGACTCTCTCAGTCTCTAATGTGTGACTTCGGGTGTGTTCTAGGCATTTCTGGACACCCATGTTTTTGTGACATTAGTAGATTTTTTTTCACTCTATTTTTTTCAAGTTTTTTTTTTTTAATTTTTAATGTTTATTTATTTTTGAGAGAGAGAGAGAGAGAGAGAGAGAGACAGACTGTGAGCAGGGAAGGGGCAGAGACAGAGGGAGACACAGAATCTGAAGCAGGCTCCAGGCTCTGAGCTGTCAGCACAGAGCCCAGCGCGGGGCTCGAACTTGCAGACTGTGAGATCGTGGCCTGAGCTGAAGTCGGATGCTTAAACTGACTGAGCCACCCAGGCACCCCTCAAGTTTTTATTTAAAAAATTTTTTAATGTTGTTTTTATTTTTGAGAGGGAGAAGGAGAGAGACAGAGCATGAGCGGGGGAGGAGCAGAGAGAGAGGGAGGCACAGAATCCGCAGCAGGCTCCAGGCTCTGAGCTGTCAGCACAGAGCCCGACGCGGGGCTCGAACCCACAAACCGTGAGATCGTGACCTGAGCGGAAGTTGGATGTTTAACCGACTCAGCCCCCCAGGCGCCCCTCAAATTTTTATTTAGATACCAATTGGTCAGCATACAGTGTAATATTAGTTTCAGGTGTAGGATTTGGTGATTCATCGCTTACATACAGTGCCCAGTAGGGTTTTTGTTCTATTTTAAAAAGTGGCATAGTCTAGAAAACCACAAGAACTGGAAAAACAATCGAAAGAAATGAGCTCCTTCCCCGGCTTTCACCCATGACAATCACAGTATACATTTAGATAGAGGAGGCTATGAGATTCCTACAAATTCAGAGCCCATGTTGAGTTTCAGAGAACAGTGGGATGGAACCCCTTCCTTGGCTGTCAGTTGAATAATATTACAATTGTTTTTAACATCCAAGTGGCAAAGAATTTGCTCCTTTTTTATCTGATACTGAGCTCCACTCAAGGACAGTTACTTACTCTTCTTGGATAGTAAGGATAGTTACTCTCCTCGGTTTGAACAGAGTGAGTAATTGATTGTCTTAGGGGGCGTGCAAACCTCAGAGCTAGATTATCATACGGTGGTGCAGTCTGCGACTGGAGTGACGGCTTTGCCTGCCCCCAGCCGTCTGATCCCTCCTTCCTTGCCACAGCAGGTGTCTGTGGACTTTTCCCAGCCACCAGGACAGATAGGGTCAACGAACGAAATGAACACCCCACACGCAACTTCCTGCCCTCAGTGACTCGAGCCTCTGAGAGGAGAGGTGAGGCACGTTCAGAAATGTCTGTGATGCAAGGTACAAAGTGTGAAGTTGACAAAGGAATGTTTTTAAAGACAATTTGGCTTTTGATCGACAATGGAAATATTGATTTAATAACTAGGCTGCATTATTTAAAAAGCAATCGTTTTAATAAAAAAGGAGAATAATACATTTTATCATATAAAGTTTTATTTTCCCACAAGCTAATATACAGAGGACAATAGTGCAGAATCGAAGACATTAATGTTTTTATTCGAGAATGGTATATTCAGGAGCATCTCTCTCAGGCTATAAAAATTAAACTTGAAACTCAGCAATGAAGTTTATTGCCTGAAGCAATTGAGTCTAATAAAATTATAAATATTCATTTCATCTGTACATAGAGCTATGCATCTTGATCAAAGCCGAATAAAACTTTTCATGTTCTGGACAACTTTCAGGACGGCTTCTGCCCTGATTCTGCTGGCACTTTCAGAGCAGTGAGTAACTAAGGAGACACTGCTTTGTGTCCAGATTTGGAGAATATAAGCAGAGCTTCCCTTCATAGACCAACAGATTGGTTAATAAAGAGCCATTAATTTGCCAAAGAAAGTTGTCGCAAACTATGGCAAGCTATCCAGAACTTATATTTTGTTAGCTGTTTTGACTCAATGAGTTATCCATTCATTAAAAAAACTTCTGTGGTCCCTAATGCGCACTTGTCCCTCACAGGATATTTTGGATGTCTACCAACGAGACCTGCAGATATATGCACCTGCCCTTAATGCACTTGCAATATAATAGGGAATATAAACAACGGAATAATGTTCATAACTAATCTAATTTGGCATTATTATTATTTACCCTAATGTGCTTTGGACAGAATAGTTCAGGATCGCCTTCTAAATTAACAGGCTGTCCTTGTTCTTCTTAATTAGTGGTCTTCTTAATGGTGACCAATCAGGTTAAGTTTTCCCAGTTACCATAAAATAATTTTAGTATAATCCTACTTTAAATGCACATCATTCGATTTCTGATTTTCTGTCTGGTCTTGACTTGGATGTGGCCTATAGTCCCAAAGTAGGAGAGCTTTAAAATACAACAAACCAGTAAGGTGCCCTAGCATTGTTTTGCTAAGTTTTATTTCTCTAGAGATGTTTATATGAATGGTATTCTGTTGATTTTGTGTGAGTGCATAAAAAGAAACAATGACAAAATTCCCCAAATATCAAAACAAAAATCCGTTTTGAAGTATGCAGAATAAAGACGTGCCTTTCTATTTCCTCCTGGGAAAGAATACAATAGGTTGAATGTAGTTCAAATCAATACAGTCATGCAGATAAGCCTTAATGGGTCAATTTTCAGTGTGGGGAAAGGAAATCCATTGAAGGATTATAAATTGAAATGGAGCTCCATATATGAGAATTGAGTAATAAATAATTTGTGGAAATTACCTACTGACATCGTCATGGGCAGACTACTGTTTAGATATTATGTGACTTCTATGTGACTTATGTGACATGTATGCCTTTTCTATGCTTTGCCAAAGAATTTATCTCATTTAGAAAGAAAGACACAAAACGTTTATAAAGTTTCAGGAGTATGCATATAAGTGCGAAGATCCTCAACAAAATATTAGGGAATCTAATTCGGTAACATAAAAAAGTATTATACGCCATGATCAAGTAAGATTTATGCTAGGATTTTAAGGTTGGTTCAGCAGATAAAAATTAATCAATGTAATATGCCATGTTAGTAAAATAAAGGACGAAAACCACATGGTTACCTCAGCAGACACAGAAAAAGCATTTGGAAAAAAAAAAACCCAAAAACTCCACCCTGCTTTCATAATAAAGAACATTGAACAAACTAGGAATAGAAGGAACCTTCCTCACATGAAAAAAGGCATCCACAAAAACCCCCAGCTGACATGACATCATACTCAATGGTAAGATAATGGAAGTCTTTCCCTAAGATCAGGAACAAAATGGGGATGTCCACTCTCACCGGTTTTGTTCAAGACTATAGAACTCGTTGGAGTGAGGGCTATTTCGCAAGGAAAAAAAAAAAAAAGTAAAAAGTATCCAGAAGAAAAAGAAAGAAGTAAAACTATCTCTATTTGTAGAGAATGTGGGCTTGTAAGGAATCCAGGAGAAAAGCTATTGGAGCTAGTACACAGTTTGGGAAAAGAAATAAGATCAATATACAGAAATGTACTTTATTTCTATATACTAGCAATGAACAATACGAAAATGAAAGGAAGAATGAAATGTAAATTCCATTTAAAATAGCATCAAAAAGAATAAA